TCCGGTCACTCCTTTTAAAACTGTTTTCCCAGTCTCTCTGCAGATAGAGCCTGCCCTGAAGCATGTTCTTTCCATAACGCTGCCAAGGATTCACGAGATATACGTGATGACGTGGAGTTATTGAAGGTCTCTGCCACGATAGCATTTTCTTTTTTTCTCCGCGGGAGCCACGGAAACAATCTGTGTTTATACGAAAACAAAGAGCAGCAGAGACTGGGTCACAGAACACCTACCAGGTGACTGCACTGTGTTTAGAAACAGTTGGTGTAACGATTTAGAGTACTAGGCACTCTACTATGGGAGAGCTTAAAGCCGTCCCGTGGGCCTCAACACGAAAACTTTCCTTTACACTAACGTTAATGGTTGGAAACCCCGTGTGTTTAGAAAAAGGGGGGTAACGATTTAGAGTACGAGGTACTCTTACTATGGGAGAGCGTTAAGCCGTCCCGTGTGTATAGAAAAAGTGGGTAACGATTTAGAGTACTAGATACATGTGTGTTTAGAAGAAGTGGTTAACGATTTAGAGAACTAGGTACTCTACTATGGGGCCTATAAACAGCCCGCGAAACAATACAAAACATGTGTTTAGAAAAAATTTATTGCCACAAACGTCAATAACACTCAACAGAACATTTCCGTCTTAGACATACTCTAACGATGATGTCAAGACAGACGTCATTTACATGAACATGGATATGAGATGACGTTGAAAGAACATGTGCATTCGATGGTTCACACAAACACAACCACAAAATACTTCAAGGTAAACAAGAGACAAATAAAACATAAATATGTACATTTTGCATATTTACATGTTGGCATGCCATTTCTGCCGGCGCATCGACAGATCAGCCTACTAATACCAGGCCGGCCGAAAGACAAGTTTCACTCGTTCGTCATAGACCGACACGAAAGGGCAAGACCAGTGCCGAAGAAATTCCTCTTTACCGAGGAAGAAGAGTTCCTCCGACAAAACAGACAGCAGCTCCGAGTACAATCGTTCTAGGATCGGGTAGAGCGCGCGGCGGCGGCGGCCCGCTGCAACCGCCTCGCAGTGGTTGCGCCAGAGGCAGAAAGCGCCGGCAACAATGAGAAGACAAGCGAAGCGGCCTCGCGAACAACGCCCAGAAGAAACGAAGCGATTTACTCTGAGGCACTGAAATCCGGCATGTACGGCTCTCCAAAAAACGCGAGCAATGATACAATGCCTCAGAAAATGCTGATTTGTTTCCCGAAGGGAGCAGTTTGGACATGTTGCTGACTGGACTATTCTCCACCTTTCGAGGCGGTCGAGAGTGGGAAGTACACCCCATCCCAGGCGCCACATGAAGTCTCGAAGGTGTCCAGGCAGAAAAGAAGCTGTTAAGGAGCTCCAAGACACCCGTCTAGAGCGCGCACGGCGGGCTGGCGGGACCAACGGAAGCAACAAAGCAGCTGTTGTCTCAACTATGTGGTTGTTCAAAACATCTATGCCAGGACAGCTCGACTTGACATGGCGAAAAAATGCAACAGTTGTTGCATAAAACGCAGGAAGTGTTATTGACTGTGGCCCCCTGTTAAGTTGCACATTAGGCATCAAATGGCGAAGGTGAGTACCCAGAAAGTAATATGCAAGCGTTCGTGCGGGAGATTCTTCCCCTTGCACTAGGCGCAAAAGGAAACGCAGTGCCAGCAGCCGACAGCGTATGGACACTGAAGAGAAAGCAAAGCCTCCTTGAGCACGCTGCTGTCCCAGTGCCGCGCGAGAGACCAACTCAGTGCCGCCTGACCAAAAAAAGGAACACAAAGCAGACTGTAGTGATCGCACGATACGTAAAGATGGTTGCACGACGTGAGAAAGGTACCAAATGCGACCGCAAAATACAGTCTGCGCAAGGTACCTCCGCTCAAGAAGCGGGAAGTCAAAATCCCGTGCATCATGAATTTTCAATCTTACTTCCTCGAGAGCGTTTAACCAAACAGATTCGCAAATGCCGTAGTGGTTGTATAAAATACCTAAAATACGAAGGGACGCGGCCGGCTGAATGGGAACACCGGCGCTAA